CGCCGCACAGCTTTGCTCACTTTGAAAGCCCTTTTCTCTCCGCCTGATGAAGACCTCTCGTGTTGCGATCGAAACGTCGTGACTTTTTGTTTTTATTTTAAAATTTATGAATGTTATTATTATTTATTTTATTATTTTCTATCTACGTGACTTTACCGAAAGAGACAAGAATATGAATTCCTGCCATCACGAAAGTTTAAAGTCAAAATTAAATTTTGTGTCTAGATTGAAATGTCCTTAAGTCTACTACGCTGCTGGTAATCAAGTCGTGAATACATCGTTAACCCCATAACCATCAACACTCGGTTGAGGGAGTTGGTTGGAGTGCTAAGGGGCCGTTCATAAATGACGTCACCCAATTTTGACGATTTTTAACCCCCCCCTCGTCACACGGCGTCACACAAAGTCAGACCCCCCCTCAAATATGACGTCACAAAGCTCTGCCCCCCTCCCCCCTCCCCCCCCCAAAAAACATGCTTCTAATCTCTTTAAACTTTTGTCATTGTAGTGCGTATTTAATGTGGCGCTGCACTCTGATGTTGTAGGAGAAAACAATTATTAAAAAGTCTATTTAATTAAGTAGAACGTGTTGTCTATATTTAAAGTTGCGCATTTTGATGTGACGTCACATTTCTCAACCCCCCCCCCCCCCCTTGTCACACATCGTCACAAATGTCTGACCCCCCCACCCCTAGGTGCGTGACGTCATTTATGGACGCCCCCCTAAGCTGCAGGTGCATTTGTTTCACAACCTCTTCGCCATGAAGTGGCGGTGGATGATTTAAGGATGTGCAGGTTCATTTTAATCACGGATAAGAGGATTTTTTTTCAACGTATTCGTTTTCCAAAGGCAAGCTGGCTCCATTTATTAACTTAAAATGCCGTAGCAGCATTCTTTATAATTTCAACATGCATCTTTCCATGTGTTTTGCAACAATGTGATGCTGTTTGTGAGTGTCCCATGTTTCTCATTTATGACCTGTACCAGTTAATATGCACTTATGGGAAACGTTGATCTTCAGGCACATATTGGTCCATTGCTTTTCATTCCGAAATGGAATTTTCCAAATGCACTCCCCATCCAATGGAATCCTGCTCCACCCTCAATAATAGCCCAAGATATAAACACTCGTGTTTTGCAGACGAGTGTCCTTCATGAGTTGAACATGGCAAGGCCGTAATTATAATATATATTGGGGGGGACACATCCCCCCCCTATATTCAAATATGCTCAAAATGTCCCCCCCCCCCCCAATATATTGCTATAAAATATATTTCTGTGTATATGATTGTGGTCATGGTTGTACTTTATAAATCCCTAATCTCTGCCATTACATACAATGAAACGAGATAAGGTTAAACAAAGCAAAAACAGAGCAATGTAATACAATATACCACTATTAGACTTTATTGTAAAAAAACAAAGTCAATCCTATGTGTCAGTGAATTTTTTAAAAAAATATTTCAGGCAGGAAATTCGTCTTCAAATATAAAACAATTTCTGGGAGGGGGGGGGGGGTGCTGGAAGATTTTCTCTCCCCCAATGTTGACTCCATGGCTACGGCCTTGGAGCATGGTAAGGGAGCATATCAAAGTGTCCTCTTGGGCATCTGGATCAGAAAGTGGCCTTGTATACAGGAGGTTGTGGGTTTGACCCTGATGCCTGTATCTTTGGAGTTTGCATGTTTCTCCCCCGTGGCCGCGTGCATTTTTTTTAAATTCACATTTAGAATTTTTTTTAAAAAGAAAAAGACGCGTTTAGAGTATTCGGCTGCTGTAAATGTCCACACGATGAGCAATTTCGTTGAGCTATCATTTGTGGTCAGGTCCCTTCTGGACAAGAGCAACACAGCATAAGCTAAGCCTTACCAGGTAAAATACAAACAAATATATAGTTTCGTTTCGTTAATTATGGACAATTACATAAAATAGAAGAGCTTAAAGAATCGTGGGGCGAGGTGCGTGCTTATAAAAAAATGTACTCCCTAGACCAGGGGTCACCAAACTGCGGGCCGAATCCGGCCCGCGACGTCAGTCCATCAGGCCCGCCGACGGTACTTGAATTTGGTTGCTAAAACGTATGGAACACGAGACGTTGTGATACAATTTAAATTTTATGTTTAGAATACTAGGAGATCTTCACGTGTGCGGAGACCTCCTGACCGCTATGTTCCTTAAATTTACTATTTTAAATGTTAAATGATTGTATCTAGATTTTCTTGTTAATTGTGATGTTTGCTTATTTCGCGCCATCCCAAGACCTTCCCCGGCTCGTGGTAGCTCCGCCTATGACGTTACCATGGTTTCCATGGCAACGTCATGGCAACACGTTACCATGGTTTCCATGGCAACGTCATGGCGACACGTTACCATGGTTTCTATGGCAACACACACAAACACGCATCTTTCCCGCCCTCAGGTCCCACGCTCCAGAAATATTTATGTATTATTGCGGCCCGCGCTCGTCATTCTTTCAGTTATCCGGACAACTGTGAAGAAAAGTTTGGTGACCCCTGCCCTAGACGGTAAAAGGACGACCGATATATCATGAATGAGCCACATTGACAAAGAATGGCGAAGTAGGGCCTTTGGGAGCGAGGTGGAGGGGCTGATGGTCCCAATGGGAGCAATGCCGTAGGACGACTGCCGTGGAGATGGAGCAATTAAAATCAGCTCACGTGCAGGTGTGAGAGGTGGACCTGACCGTGTGCTACGTGTGCTGAACTTCTTTCGCACCGTACGTAGCCAACCGTCGTGCTAATCGGAGGCGCGACGGTGGAAATGACAACTAAAACACGAGAGGCGGCTCTAAAGAAACGAGTTTGTCAATCTAGACGATTATTTATAAAAGTGCACAGCTCCCAATGGCTTCCTAATATCGGAAGAGCGTTCCAGACGGCCACATACGGCGTGCCAAACGTAGTCCCTCAGCCAGCATTCGACAGAACACGACGATGATGAAAGATGTTCGCTGGGTATTATCTCTAACGCTGCTCCAGTGAGCGTGTTAACTCAGTACAGTAAGCGTGTTAACTCACTGTAACTACAGTGAGCGTGTTAACTCAGTACAGTGAGCGTGTTAGCTCAGTACAGTGAGCGTGCTAACTCAGTACAGTGAGCGTGTTAACTCACTGTAACTACAGTGAGCGTGCTAACTCAGTACAGTGAGCGTGCTAACTCAGTACAGTGAGCGTGTTAACTCAGTACAGTGAGCGTGTTAACTCAGTACAGTGAGCGTGTTAACTCAGTACAGTGAGCGTGTTAGCTCAGTACAGTGAGCGTGTTAACTCAGTACAGTGAGCGTGTTAACTCAGTACAGTGAGCGTGTTAACTCAGTACAGTGAGCGTGTTAGCTCAGTATAGTGAGCGTGTTAACTCAGTACAGTGAGCGTGTTAACTCAGTACAGTGAGCGTGTTAACTCAGTACAGTGAGCGTGTTAGCTCAGTATAGTGAGCGTGTTAACTCAGTACAGTGAGCGTGTTAGCTCAGTACAGTGAGCGTGTTAGCTCAGTACAGTGAGCGTGTTAACTCAGTACAGTGAGCGTGCTAACTCAGTACAGTGAGCGTGCTAACTCAGTACAGTGAGCGTGTTAACTCAGTACATTGAGCGTGTTAACTCAGTACAGTGAGCGTGTTAACTCAGTACAGTGAGCGTGTTAACTCAGTACAGTGGGCGTGTTAACTCAGTACAGTGGGCGTGTTAACTCAGTATAGTGAGCGTGTTAACTCAGTACAGTGAGCGTGTTAACTCAGTACAGTGAGCGTGTTGGCTCAGTACAGTGAGCGTGTTAACTCAGTACAGTGAGCGTGCTAACTCAGTACAGTGAGCGTGCTAACTCAGTACAGTGAGCGTGTTAACTCAGTACATTGAGCGTGTTAACTCAGTACAGTGAGCGTGTTAACTCAGTACAGTGAGCGTGTTAACTCAGTACAGTGGGCGTGTTAACTCAGTACAGTGAGCGTGTTAACTCAGTACAGTGAGCGTGTTAGCTCAGTACAGTGAGCGTGTTAACTCAGTACAGTGAGCGTGTTAACTCAGTACAGTGAGCGTGCTAGCTCAGTACAGTGAGCGTGTTAACTCAGTACAGTGAGCGTGTTAACTCAGTACAGTGAGCGTGTTAACTCAGTACAGTGAGCGTGTTAACTCAGTACAGTGAGCGTGTTAACTCAGTACAGTGAACGTGTTAACTCAGTACAGTGAGCGTGTTAACTCAGTACAGTGAGCGTGTTAACTCAGTACAGTGAGCGTGTTAGCTCAGTACAGTGAGCGTGTTAGCTCAGTACAGTGAGCGTGTTAACTCAGTACAGTGAGCGTGTTAACTCAGTACAGTGTGCGTGTTAACTGAGTACAGTGAGCGTGTTAACTGAGTACAGTGAGCGTGTTAACTCAGTATAGTGAGCGTGTTAACTGAGTACAGTGAGCGTGTTATCTCAGTACAGTGAGCGTGTTAGCTCAGTACAGTGAGCGTGTTAACTCAGTACAGTGAGCGTGTTAGCTCAGTACAGTGAGCGTGTTAACTCAGTACAGTGAGCGCGTTAGCTCAGTACAGTGAGCGTGTTAACCCATTACAGTGAGCGTGTTAGCTCAGTACAGTGAGCGTGCTAGCTCAGTACAGTGAGCGTGCTAACTCAGTACAGTGAGCGTGTTAACTCAGTACAGTGAGCGTGCTAGTTCAGTACAGTGAGCGTGCTAGCTCAGTACAGTGAGCGTGTTAACTCAGTATAGTGAGCGTGTTAACCGAGTACAGTGAGCGTGTTAACCGAGTACAGTGAGCGTGCTAACTCCGTACAGTGAGCGTGCTCACTACAAGCTCACGGTCAACACCGTCAGTGACGATTATCTGAACCGGTTGCCGGGACCTCCAATAGGTTGACTCAGCCTCAAATGAGTACCCGGTGCGATGTGTAAACATCGCCACTGGGGAGACAAAGCACTTGCTCCTGCAGCCTGTCGCAGGCTACACGGGGGATCTTTGTCTCGTGCTGCTGCCGGGTACGTAGAACACATGCCGGAGCTCAGTCCCGGCCAGATCTCCTATTTTGACCGTCATTCGGCAGGGAAACAATGCTGTAACAACGGCGGCGTTAAGACTGCGTAACGATCTGTTCACGTTTCGACGTCTTTACCCGCGTATTTTGTCGCACCCGCGATAAGTACAACACACGTAGACAACACGCCATTGTAAATCGTAGTCCGGATAAGCGGCTCGTCGACAGTGCGGCACCCCGATTGGCTCAGACGCCCCACGTGATGACCGCGGCACGCGTTTCGATTGGCCAAGAGATCCACGTTCGACGAATCGTGAGGCGGAAAATGAGTGCGCTTGTCTATCCGTTGTGCGGAATGTAACGGCGCAGTGGATGCGAGGGTTTATCGGCCTTGTAGTGAATGAAGGTAAATAAAAAAGTAACTTTAATCATTAAAAATGTCTAAGAATAAGCTTTAAATGCGTGGCTACATTAGATGACCTGAATATGTAACAAAGTGGCGCGTCTCTGGTCGTTACGGAAACGAAGGATGTCAGTGGATTGTATGAAGCATTGCGATGTTCGTTTGTCTACAATATAACGCGCCCTGGCCATGTGGTTGTGTTGTTGTTGTTGTGTAGTCGGCACGCTGTAACTCCACGTACATCCCATTTGCTTGATCCACTGCTGGATGAAGGCCAGCCCCCTCCCTCCCTACGCCGTGCGGACCGTGTAGGTTACGTGACCATACTTCACCACGCTGGTCAGTGCGTCTCTTGTGTGTGCAGGCGAGGAACATAGAAGTGCAGTGACACCCATTCTGCACTGCCCTCTGCTGCCCGCCACGTTCCCGCTGCCCCTACAGCAAACTATATCCTTAGCTCTTTCGGTAATATTTTATTGTTTCCCTTCAACGTGACTTTACCGAAAGAGCTAAGAATATGAATTACTGCAGTCACGAAAGCTTTAAATCAAAATCCTACAGCAACCTGTTTGTGCATTGAGGTCGCCCACCCACCAAAATCACTGTAATTGACAGAACAATCGTACATGACAGCCCCCCAGAATGATGTATTGTATTGTCAAATATAAGGAGGCTACAACAGGCACAGTCCGCGGGTGACGCAGCCCATCATCCTGACGCGGGGGTCGATAAATCAGCTGCGTCGAAAATAGCTATTTCCCGGGTGGATTCGTTCTCGCCATGGCAGTGTGGAATTTCCAGAACTGAAACCGGGGCCACACACCTTCAGAGACTGAGATCACTTTGGACAGACACCTTGACTATGCTTGTAAACAGGGTAGTGACGATATCTGAATCAATCATGAGGCTCCCCTAGGTCGACTCAGCCTCAAATGAGTGCCTGTCGCGGTGTGTAGTAAACATCGCCACTGGGGAGACAAAGGCGGCCGGGCGTGGTGCTGGCCACCCAACCCCCTCGTGTGCCATGGTGCCGGCCTTCATAGGTGCTCGCTTACAGCACTTGCCCCAACAATCTGTTGAGGCTATACGGGACATCTTTTTTGCCCATCATCTTGCCGATGACTGGTACTAGCGGGGTCAAGATCGGCCCCTGTGGAGGAGGCTCGTGAAGGACGCTGCTGCTACCGGGCAATTTGGAGACAAGTCGCCCCTCCAGCAACAGCCGAGAACAGAGGAGCGACGCTCACAGCAATGAGCGGAGCGCCGGGCGGTTAACAAACGCATGAAAGTTGGCACAGCGGGGAGGCAAAGTTGGTGCATCTGAAAGACATCTCAGTCAACCCGTGGCAGCAACTGGGTCTGTTCCGTGACCTCTTGCCAGCGGGCCCTTTTAACGCTTCACGTGGCCTCAAAGTGCAGCTCGCATGGCACAGACGTCACCGGCACTAATTGCCCTCTTAGCTTGGCCCATTGTCACCACCTCGTGCGCCTAGACAACCACAGACGCTGCCTTTATCCTCATATTTTGCGTTATGCCCCAGATATTTTATTGGAAATGTGCTTGTGCGTGATACAAATGTTTAAATTTTTGTACAATTTTAAATGTGCATAAAATATAAAATCGTTCATGCAGGGTGATCCGTTTATAGATACCTGGTGATTTCTGTTGACTTCAGCTTTTGAATGGTATAAGCAAATCATTGGCTATGTTGGAGTAAGTCTATTTGGAGAGTTCATAGATATCAAGTGTATTGATACTGTGGGAGATGTGCGGAAACTTTGAAATACAATGTTTGCTCTATATTTTACTATCGCTCCTCTCAATTTTTTTTAGTGGAGTATGTATTTTTAGTGGTGTATGAGTATGTATCTTTAAATTGATCAGGAATCAAGCAATTTCAGTACCGCACTGCATATAGTGTTGTTTGGTGCCTACAGGGGAGAGTTGATTTCAAAATAATTGCCAATTCTGGGTTGTTTCAGCCTGTTATCCCACCAGGGTAGTTAAGATGACGAAATTAGTATTGTTTGGATTTAATTTGTGGTAGTGTCTGAATAAACTGAGGTGAGCACCACTCAATGACTGTTTGAGCACAGATCTCTTGATTTTGTCTTAAACCTGTGCTTTACTGTCATTCCAAACAGCACAATGTTGGAGGAAGACAAGCCCCCAGACGAACAGGACCCTCACAGAAGCATGGATAACCTGACCTCCCATCATATACAGCAATCTGAAGACACACAGAGCAGCAACAGTAGCAGCAGCAGAGACAGCCCTCTGAGCCCCCATCAGCATTTATCAGAGACTTCCTCTGACACACAACCTCAGGACCAGTCAGAAGCCTCCCCAGACCACACAAGCGCACAGTCAGACACCCCGCTCACAGACGCCAAGGACGATGCTCCCTCGGTCTCGGACTCCGCTGACCAGCCCGTATCCAAAAGCGATCCACCGCCGCCCGTGGTCGGTGTACCGCGCGACTCTCTGGAGGCCCTGGACATTCTGGGCGTGGACGTGACACGCATGCTGCAGCGGGTGGCGGCGAGCGGAGCACCGGTCAAGAGCCAGCAGCGCGGGGACCCGGACCTCTCGGCAGAGGACAAAGTGACGCTCCTCCGCGAGCTGTGGGCCGAGCAGCCCGCGCGCTTCCTTGAGCGCTACCACGAGGCGCTGAGCGTGCGCGACCTCGGCTGCTTCGAGCATGTGACGGAGGAAGATGCCTACCTGGTGAACTTCTACCTGGAGGCCGTTCGCAAGAGGACTGAGCAGAGGGCCGGCACTGCTATTAGGAATAAGCGGTAACCGTTGATTCGTTCCCTCATTTGTTCACTTGGCCGTGCCGTGTTGTTCTTGTCATTGTTGGTATTAATGGAACCTGGATTTGAACCAAAGTTTTCAGTCATGCCAGTTCAAGTACCCACAGCCATAAGCCACATTGTGAGCATTACAAAAAGTGTGATGCCTGCACTAAAAGATGTTTCATATGGACACTTTATACATTCAAATTATCGTGTGTATTTGAAAATGGTGAGTGACAGACAGACATGTTGTAGTTAGATGGGCTGACAGAGAAGGCTTCCAAAGTTTAGCAGTGAGGATTATTGAAAAAGAGACAGTGCTTGTGAAACAAGCAGGTCGGCAAGGACACAATTCAAGCTGCGCTGACCATCACATGGACATTTTGTTAACATCAATTATTAAAATGTGTCTCTTTGTAAAAGTTAACAGGCTTATTAGAAGGATAGCTTACACCAATACACATTTACAAGTGTGGTGAAGTATAGTCCCCCCCCCACCCATGCTAAACACATTGCCTGAAGAGATGATGGGTGATTGTCAAGAATAATAATGGAGTGGCAGCCAAGGAATGGAACGCACACTCCATCCAAGAGATTAAGTGATGAATGAGTTCATGTGTAGTTGCTAGGTGGATTATTACATTGGTGGATCATGAGAGGTAGTGGTGACCCGGTTAAGTATACTTGCTGTATTCATTTGGTAATCTGGACAATAGGTAGCAGCAGCATTCGCACCATTCAGCAACTCTCATATACTTTGCCGCTGGCTGTGGGTTTGGCTTTCCCATCAGCCGGCATTCACATTGGCACAGCGTGGTAGTTGGCGCTCTACGGCAGGATCATTATAACTCCTGTGGAGTATACCATTCTGTGTCCTGTTGTTTTGCTTTTGTCTATTTATGTCTTTCAATACTGTATGCTTTATTTTCCAAATCTGGAATCTTTTCTGTTTTTAATGTTTTTCTACTCTTTTTTTTCATGCGGAATACTCTATTACAATAATTCAACTTGTCAACCGTTTTGATTTAAAGTTATTTTTTTTATTGTTTTATATATATTTTATTGTTTTGTTGTTTCCCTTCAACGTGACTTTACCGAAAAAACTAAGACTATTGTCAACCGTTGTTTACGTATCGTTATTTTAGTACTTTTTCTATTGCCCCTTTTGATTTTTGGTTGTGGATGAAATCGTCGTGTGAGGAAAGAAAACCGAGACTCTTCAAGAGGTTTGGAGAGAAACAGTTTGAATATGGAATGCATCTGAATGCAACCACATCTGGAAAAATGTGACTGAAAGGACAAAAATGAGGCTAGGAAAATGAGTGGCAGTAAAGATAAAAAGGGTAACAGCCATATATCACATTGCATTACACCAGTGCTGCAAAGGAAGATATTTGAATTGAGGAGGCAGTCAGTCCCAGACAACCTTTTTACAACCAGTGATAGAGCACAAGGAGCTGAGTTTGTGAATCGCTGCCAATGAGCGAATTTGGCTGGATTTTTTAAGTCACCGGCAACATCCACGCTCGCTGTGACCCTAAAACCCACGGGGAGGTGACGTGCAGCTCCAAGTGGTTTTAGGAAGCCACTGGAGCTATGTACTTTTAAATATTGATTAACAACTCATTTATTTATAACTGCTTGTTGATGTGTTTAGTTTGTTGTCCTTCCCCCGTACCTCCGATTAGCACGGTTGGCTACGTACGGTGCAGAAGTTCAACATACATACATACGGACGTACGTTATGGTGAGCAGGTGTCGCCGGCTTCCGCTAATTGTGTAATCCCCATGCCACACCCTGCAGGTTCGCGGCACTGCGCGAGCTCGTAAACGCGGGTGAGTACTTCAGCGAGGAGTGCATGCGCGCGCGCGACCCCCTGCTCTACGAGCAGTGCATTGGCCGCTTCCTGTCCGAGGAGGAAGTGCTGGCACGCCGCAGCATCGCGACTGGCACCCCGGAGTCTCTTGCCGACGTCCTCATCGACGTCCACCAGGAAGTGGAGCTCCGGCGCAGGTGAGGGGTGGTGGTGGTGGTGGTGGCGGCGGCACCACCTGACTGTCACCGGTGTGCGCAACGGAGGGTGATGATTTCACGTTAAGCCTTTCCCGTTCATAAGACGACTGCAAGTTGCAGGGTGTGTCCTGTTCACCTCAATCTCAGAACGCGCAAGCGAATTTAGCATAGCGCCGTTGTCTTTAAAGACATTGTACTCGCCGCAGAGAACCGTAGCGACATGATAGCCCTCTGATAGCTGGTGCCAAACTGTGCCACACGCCCTCCCATGTAGCCTTGTGGGAGCTTCGGTACCGATAAACTTCTTTTGTTTTATTTCGATTTAAAGCTTTCGTGACTGCAAGGATTAATCTTTTTTTGGTTCTTTCGGTAAAGTCACGTAGAATGAAAATAAAATAATAAATTGATAAAATAAAATAACACAATAAAATTCTCACGACGTTTCAGCCACAACACACGCGGCCTTCATCAGGTGAAGGGACGAGACTGTCTGGAGGACAGCGCTGGAGCGAACACAGCCAAGCTCAGACCGCGACCTTTAAGCTGTGTGAGAAGAAACAGAGCGCCTTGACAAAGGAATTCGTTTTTCTTCCGATTCCATTCTGATGATGTACACGTACATCATAGAACACGTACTTAATCAGAACGGGAAAGGGTTAAACAATTTCTGCGCACAGGCCCAAAGGACCAAAACGTCAAACTGCTACCGACAGCACTGTCAAACATGTAATAGATAAGTGATGACACAATTAAAAAATTGAGCAAGGTAATATGAGCTTGGGAAAGGAGATGATGGGAGGGAATTCCAGTGTCGAGAATTGCGAGGGAAGAACCAAGCACGAAGAAAAGTGTTGTGACCTGCAGTGTGGTGGTTGAACACAGTTAGGAGGGGACTAAACAGTTTTGTGTTCCAAGTCCTCAACATGGCTGGAGGAATCAGTTTCAGTTTATTTTGGTATAGCCCTGTGAGCCATTCGGCTCTTGAATCGGGTGCAACCACAACAAACAAACAAAAAAAACACGAACAAGAAAAACATCTTAAAGTGACTATGTGACTGTGCAAACAGTTCAGGTAGGTAGGTTAGTGGGTATGCAGCCGGTTGAGTCGAGTTGATGTGTAAGTGGATTTTTAGGTAAGTTTATAAGTAGCTGGGTAGGTGAGTGGGTAATCAGTTGGGTGTGTGGGTATATTGATTGTTGGGTGGCTATGTAGTTGATTTGTCTGGTAGATTGGGTAGTTTTATAGGTGAGTGGGTAAATTGCCAGGTGGATGATTAGGTACTTAGGTGGGTGCCTTGATGGTGTCTACCAACTGAGTCACCCATGCAGTAGAGTTTTTTAACTGAATGGGCTTTACTCGTGAAATCAACTTCTGATTCTGGTTAGTGGGAGGATATATGATTGAGTACATTTATACATAAGTACAGTAAAACCTTGGATTGCGAGTAACTTGGTCTGCGAGTGTTTTGCAAGACGAGCAAAATTTTTAAATAAATATTAATTTGATAAACGAGCGAGGTCTTGTAATACGAGTAGTACTTATATACGCTTTGTCTGCCGAGCGTCACGTGATCACAACTGATATACGAGTGCTTTGGATTACAAACACGTTTCCGGAACGAATTATGCTCGCAATCCAAGGTTTTACTGTATCTGGATTGATGAGTAAGTGGGGGTTGTGTTTCTATGTAGCTGAATTGGTGTTGTGCATAAGTACATAATTAGGTTAGTGAGTCGATGGGTGAGTGGGTGTTTTACTTAGGCAACATTGCAGGTGGATGCGTGGACAACTAATTACTTGACTGCCTAATTTTTGTAAGTAAATGAGTAGATTGGTATATTGTGATGTTTCAGGGTGAGTAATTTGTTCGTCAGGTAACTAAGTAAATGGGATGGTAAACAGCTGGCCAAATTGGTGAGTTGGTCGTTTGTTTTGTAAGTAGATATGTTGGCAAATAATCAGAACGGTTGGTTGGTGAGTGAGTTTACAGGTGTGTAGGCAGGTAGCTGAGCAGGTATATAGGTAACTACCTGGGTGGGTGATACTCTGACCTTGGTGTGTCCCTACTCGGTGCTCCACAGACTTCAGCAGCAGCAGGATGCGGAGGATGACATGGAGGAGGAGGAAGAGGATAGTGACGATGAAAATGACATGGACCAGAGAGAAGCCAGGCCGAATCAAGGTATGTTCAATCATGAGCATCATTGCATCACTGCGCTCATTCCAAAAGCTCTTTTTATGAGATTGAGCCATTGTGTGCACGAGATGCCAACCAGAGGGTAATGAGGTGCCTACACAGGCTATCCGTATCATCGACCACATGCAGCACATACTATCAGTCATTTTCCCAGAAAGGAATAATGAATTTAAAAGCACATTATGGCTGTACTATAACAATTTATAAATGATTTATGACAATACAGGGCTGATCGAATCTATTCTCAGGTCAGCTTTTCTCACAGGCATACAACCAAGTCGCCCTATATGCACCCAGCCTCATCAGATTTTTAAAATAAAGCAGGGTTGAGCCTGGATAGCACTTGGATGGGAAATTGCCAAGCAGTACCAGGTTTTGTGAGGCAGTGATAAGTAGGAAACTGACACTATTTGGACACATATGCAGGATGAACAACAGCAGGAAAATGAAAAGTGTGTTGCTCGGAAAAATGGAAGGAAACGGAAAGAGAGAGGAAGACTTGGCAGAGAATGGCTTGAAGACAACATCAGAGATTGGTGCCAGAATGATGTGGCACTACTTGAGCATATTAGCACAAGACAGAGGGAGGCGTACACAACTGACGACATGTGCAGTGGACACCTACGGACTATCTGCCCATGGATCGTGACGATGATGATGACCAGGTTTTGTCAGCTTGGGCTGTAAGATGTCCAGGAGATGGCAGTGCAGCAGTGCGTTGTTAAATCTGTTTTCATTGTGAGTATTGACCCCTCATGTGCCTTGGTTTTCTCTACGTACCCCGGTGTCCTCCCACAGTGATGGAATTAGCCAAACATCCCAATGCACACAACACTCTTGAAATGCAATGTTAAGACTCATCGAGGCTGTTCCGGATAAGTAAAAAAAATCAATGATTAGACGTTTCCAGCAAAAATAAATGACAAATCAGTGAAGAAAATGCATTATTCTTCTTATTTATACGTATGAATCACAAAACATAAAATATTAAAACATACACGAGTGGATCATATTTCTCATATGTAGTTTGATATTAATGGGATACACATTGTTCGTGTCGTGTTAAGCTTTGATAATAATTTACCGTGTTGACATGTCCCCTCTGCCCGTGGTCATGCAATATCACACAAACATTACACATTAAACCTTTCAGCCATTCTCTAAGAAAAGCCCTTCACTCTGCTACATCATTCCAAAAACCCCCCGGCTATCGTGCCAATAGATGCTATTTGCCTGCATGTCTTTTGACTGTAATGAATAGTAATAAAGATTGGTACATTATTTATGTGATAAATAATGACTTCCAATAATAGTCATGAGTATGGTTGTGAATTTAAAAATTTCATGCAAAATTATTACGGAAAAAAATCAGTCGATCAGTTTGTTTCACAAATAGAAATATCTAACAATAAAGAATAAAAGCCTTGCTCGGTGTACGTGTGTTTCTGTGTCTGTTGGGACATACTCTGCGATGATGGGCACGATGGTGGTGAGATGTTAACTATCTCGCCTGGTGTACAGGAGGTCGTGGGTTCGATCCCGACCCTGACGCCTGCTGCTGTATATTTGGAGTTTGCGTGTCTCTCTATCATCATCATCACGGTGGCTAGGAGATGTTAACTCCCTCGCCTGGTGTACAGGAGGTTGTGGGTTCGATCCCGACCCTGACGCCTGCTGCTGTATATTTGGAGTTTGCGTGTTCTCCCCGTGATCGCATGACTTTCTCCAGGTCCTCCGGTTTTTCCCTCCACATTTAGATTCAACGTGCGTTTAGAGTATTTGGCTGCTTTAAGTTTCCACGTGATTAGTCACTTCGTTGAGCTATGATTTGTGATAGCCAGGTCGCTTCTAAAAAAGATCTGTATAGCTCAGTGGGCCTTACCTGGTATTCTAATGAGTCCCACCCCTGGTACCCTATGATGACTGTTCACTGACCAGTCACACGCGAACGGACCATGTCGTTCATACTTGCAAATCGGTTCAGTTGTCACTGGATTACAATTACGATTCTGCTGTGTACGAAATTGGTAATTGATTGATTTAAAAAAGATATTAAAAAAATGTATAATCGATTCACGACCTGAGTGACGCGTGAGTGACTGTAACCCCCCCCCCCATGCCCCATCCCCCCGCCCTTTGCCGTGTGCATGTGTAGGGTTGCCGCACTGGGGCTCGTGTGGACGGTCCCCCAGTAGGGAGGAGGGCGCCGTGTCGTTGGAGGAGCGAGCCCTGCTCAAGGAGGAGTTTGTGAGCCGCATGTATCGCCGCTTCCTAGACGGGCATGACCAAGACTTTGATTACAGGTAACCCACCTGTGAGCTGTCACAACTGCATTCACGCAGGGTAATCAAGACGGTGGTCGCTTTCACGGATAGATTCACCACTGCCATTGGTGGACAGTATCAACCTTAAATCATATGGCAAGATGTTAATTACCTTGCCTGGTATGCAGGATTGCGTGGGTTCAATCCCGACCCTGATGCCAGCTGTATATTTGGAGTTTGCATGTTCTCCCTGTGGTCGGGTGGATTCTTCTCTGGATCCTCCGGTTTATCACTCTACATTTAGAAATGTGCGTTTAGAGTATTTGGCTGCTATAGCTTTCACGTGATAAGCCACTGCGTTGAGTTATGATTTGTTGTCAGGTCGCTCCTGAAAAAGAGCATTATAGCTCAGTGGGTCTTACCTTGAAAAATAAAAAAAAATATTTAATCGTTTTTCTCTATACCGTACTTACCACCAAAGCCTCATGAGTCTCAAGCTTAACTGAGCCTCTTTATTCGGAGGTGGGTGGTTTAATCGGCACATCATCCTTGCAGGCTCAACAAAGTGAGTATTGCTTAGTAAAAAAAATCAACAGTAGTCACACTTTGGTGACACTGGTCCCTGCCATGGGAATATGGAAAATCTTATTTTTGTTCAGGGCTTCCACCTGATATGAATGACCACTGCCCCATTGCTTGTTTGAGCAGGGAGACAATTGTCTTTGAAGGTTGAGCGGTAAAGCTTAAATTAATTGTAAGCGTTGGAGATGTTGAAATCACCAACATAATTTGCAAAAAGTTTTTGACCAATTGCTTTCCACGCTCAAATAATGTGGCGGCATTCATCTCCCTGATCAAGATCCAGTGCTGGACATTACACATTCTCAAGATGGTCGTTACATTCTCCATACGACGGCGGATGATTTACACAAAAGTAATATCATAGTAGTTTTGTTTATCTCCCACTCGCAACGAGATTGACATAATGACCCTTCTTAGCGCTCAATGGGTGTGAGGCATTAATTTCTACATCACACCGTCGCCGTTACGTAACATTTACGAGACCGCGATTGAAGGTTTAATGTTCATCGGTAATGGCATGTGACCTTGCGCTGCTCGCTCTGCATGTTAGATGTTGGCACTTCTCTCTCCGCCTTTGCGGGAGGGCGGGCACTGTGGACGCAGAGGGAAAAAAAAGATACATTGTGACGTAAATGCAGAGAGAAATATGTGCAATTATAAAGATGAACAGCTTGCATGTCTCCTTCTACTCATATAAATCATGCACCGTATGTACATATGTGCACACACGCATAGAATAATAATAAATTGTTGCTTCACTATATCGAACCAATGGCCAAAAGTATAAAATGAAAGGTGTGTAATGATTACTTGAAGAGAAAAAATACACTTGTTATACCTTTAAGCCTGTTGCGCTGCATAAAACGAAGAAATGCCATTTATTTCAATAGTGTTATGGGGGCACGTGTTGTTCAAGAGCTCAGATTAAGGCCTAGACCAGTTCACTGCATGCCTAGCTTCCATTATCTACTGAATGGTAAACATTTTAGGCTGAGTCGACCTAGTGGAGGCCAGAGCTGTGGTTCAAATACCACTTGCATGTGCATGGCCTGGAGTCATACCCATGTCACGTGTATTTTAGTACAGTGCCCTAACCACTACATTATCATATCCAACATTGTGTGCCGTGTATATATAGAAAACCAGTGAGAAAGGTCGTTGAATTTGTTTTTTTACGTGAATTGTTCTGTTACCAATTGCATTATAGTTTCATTTTTAGCCAAATTGTCATGAAACAGAGGATCCACTCAGACCTTTTATAGGTAATTGAATCTCTCTGTGTTAAGAGAGCAGCCCAGAGAGAGATAGGAGTACTGCTGCTCAGATACCTTTCACGAACTCCTTATCTACAGTTCTAGGTGTGCTGCTTTCCCCACGTGCCCTGCTACAGAGAAACTCTTGTCGCATGGAAATTCGTAATATATATTTTTTTCTAGAAATGTAATTTTCCCCAAGTTAAGTGGAAAAAAAAATAACTATGCTTTTTTCGTAATAATTGTTTGGTGCACGGTTATACCGCTGACCCGGTCGAGTGCATCAAGTAGTCGCTACACCTGGGAACCCAGTTTAATTACACGGGGCTGAAACCCGGACGTGAACCCAGCCTCCCAGGAGCGCCGGCACAGCGCTCTGATCTACCGAGCCACCCGGCCATCTCGTCACTGTTTTCCACCACTTAATTCGAGAGGACGTTCTTTGTCACCCAGCATTGCCTCCTTCCACACATCAATGAAAAAATAAACCACGGGTGGCTGGTGGCGGGTGGCTTTGGCCAGTGAAGTTGTTTCAGGAGTCAGCAGCACATCCTTGAACGACACAAAATATAAACATTTGGGGATCGGTGGTCAACTGGGCTCATGATCAGCCCTCTGTGCCCAATAAAATATTAACAGTGGATGTCCAACGGTGAGACTGGCCCCACTGTAGGAATGTGTAATTTACACCACTGACTGGCGCAGTGCCACCGAAGCAGAGATGAGCGCTGCCCTCTACTCACTTGAGCAGGGAATGCATCTGACTTGACTGCTGCTGATTTGGTGAGGGCCAACGCATTGATGTTTGTGACCCGCCCCCTACCGGACATCCGTGAAAAAAGAGCTTCGTAGCTCATCGGATTCATCCAGGATAAATAATTATTCCGATTGTGCGATGCAGCTCTGTGGATGACAATGCAGACTACGACAACTTGGATATTGTAGAGCAGGACGAGGAGGACCGCTACTTTGACGAAGACTGACAAGGTGCAGGTGAGCATTTGACCACCAGTCTCATGTACTTGTGTGTGTGTGTAGGCTTGTGTGGGGAACAGTGGTTAAATAGACATAACCGTCCCTGTGGCTACAGTGTGAACCAGGTGTAGATTGGATGTATATTTTGAATTGGTGGCTAAATCACCCAGAATGCTCCAATCTTTACAGATCCTGGAAGCCAAGTAGGCTTTGAGCCTAAATAATGCTTGGATGGGTGACCACCTTGCACCAAACACAGGCTTAGTAGGCATTCTGGGCATTAGAGGGCACAGTGCAGCAAAATACATTGTTGATCTGTACTCCCCTTCCCACCTTCCCCAAAGTGCACTGACCTGCCTGATGAGTAAGACCCAATGTCCCTCACAGGGCATAAGGGGAGGCCCTAATCCTGCACTGGATTGACAGACAGGCTGTAACGTGACCATACACATGAGAAGAGAGGACACGCAGGCACATCAGAGTAAGAGTTTGGTTTATTGTACAAGTACGAAAGGTTTTGCACCAACCCCACTAAGTATGCACGTCTCACCCGAATGCGCAGAGGACCGCCTGGCTCGAAGACCGCGTGACGTGCGCACACGGTGCTTTATGAGCTCAGGGTGGCGGCTCCGATCCACGCACGCAGAATTCCTGTGACGCCTCCAGCAGGCGAGGGCGCCCTGCGTCCTCGCGGCACGGGGAAGTTCCGCCACCACCGCCTGTGGTAGCCGCACGTGAGATTGCAGGGACTGCGCTGGTAGTGAGCTGCAAGGTTTGAAAATACTTCATCACCATTGCCGGTCAACAAACGCCGCTCATTCAAAGTCACCATCGGGAGGTCGTTCCAGCCAATGCCATTTATGCCAACACACCTTGTTATCGCTTCCTTCTACTAGATCTGGAAGCTGTTGAATAGTTGACACCCGATCTCCAATGTGTGCACTTAAAGAGTATCCCACCATCTGGAATTTGAACTTTCCCTTTGTTGCTGACCTCCGCCTTGGTAACCTGCCCTCAGCCATCTGTGCATGTGCATCACTCACCACAGCATCCTCTTAACGATTACATCTGCAGTGCATATAACACTGCTTCGTTTGAGGATATTGTGATGAATGTATGTTGGTAATTGATGCAATATATTTTTATGATCGTTTTAATGGTTATATATCTGCTACTGGTAAGATATTTATATAATTGTTTGACATTCTCACCACCACCACATTAATAATGTCTCTAACTCACGTGCCAATCTGACTTCCCTTGGTGCTCTCTTTTGCCCAAACCATTATCCGGATTATATATTTTTCATTAATTATCATAAGTTCTTTATGTATCCAGGAAACTGTGAAATGTTTAATACAATATTTTTCTCAAAGGACCCTATTCGGAATGTTTAGCCAATTTACCATTGGAGCATCGATTTATCACTGAGCATCGATTTATCATTGAGCATAGATTTATCATTGAGCATCGATTTATCATTGAGCATCGTTGTTCGATGAAGAGGGGCAACTTGGAAGATGCCCGTGCGAGGATAACGTTCAACAATGAATCCCCATGAAGAGGTCAGCAACCTATTTGAGATACCGCCTCTTTCAGGCCACCTTTCAGCCATGATTGTGGTGATCTCTGCGCGATCCACCAACGCTACCTTCCAAGTGCTGTGTTTGTTCATGGCGACGATGATGATGGAGTTGGCGAAATATTTTCAATCTGGGGTCAATGCAATCAGCTGGCTTGAAATGACCAATGGGAAAACAGTGCCGCTGTGGATTCCTCTCTTAGGGCTACAGCTACATTAAGCTACTGGTAAATATCTCATACAAGTGTAATTATGTTAGATTCGATAAAAACAAAATTAGTAAAATTGCCGCTTGTAATGCAATCTTAATATTCGTTACACCCTAACCGGCCGTCGGTTTAAAAATTGTAGAGTGATTCGTTTACTTTTGTTGACCATCAATTATTTGTTTTAAGAAATGTTTCTTCCCTTTCTTTCATGAATGTATATTGTTTTAAAATGAAATTTCATGGTGTGTTTATGTACATTTGAGTTTTGCACGGAAAATAATAAAATGGTTTGCCAAAGGTAAACGGATTTGACTTCGACAGGAATATTGTGATGACAATTGAGCAATTAAAGCATCAAAACATTGTAATTGTAATCATATGTTTACTGCTAATACAAACATGTATTTAGAATCTTGACTTAAAGCTTTCGTGACTGCGGGAATTCATATTCTTTGGGTCTTTCGGTAAAGTCACGTAAATAGGTTCAAATTAGTACAAATAAAATAAACAAAAACCTCCGACGTTTCGATCACAACACAAGCGAGCGTCATCAGGATGACGATTGTTTATTTCGAAACGTCGTGGTTTTTTGTTTCTTTTATTTTTATTAATTTACGTGACTCTACCGAAAGACCCAAATGTTTTTAGAATGTTTAAGCTGACGGTATTTCACCTTGCACTTTGCTTTTAAACAATTGTGCGTTTCATATCAATCGGTTGCTAAATTGTTTTACTTTTATTAATTCGTTGATGCATAACTTATTGAAGTTGGGAGATTAATTGTCTCATTTGTTAACTCTTGAAGTGTATTCCGATTTCAAAATGCGGCTCGACGTGAAATGATACATTGCACAAAACGCGTACCAACACAAACCCGTGCCGCACACACAAAAGATATTAACACATTCGAAAGTTATTTATACAACATAAATTTAACTTATTGCTGAGTCACACTGACCTGGTTTCATAGGTTGACTGCACTAGAAACTGCAACTTGTTTCTTTTAAGCGCATGTTCTTTTTTTTGACAGGGCTTTAACCATAAACCAAACGACACACAAAGAACAGTTGTTGACTTTTGCTGACACAGACTAATTAGGACTGGATACCCTTAAGACAACAGAAGAGTGAATTAGGCAGAATCCACGGACTGGAGTGGTGGGGTAATACTTGCCCCGCTGCTTCTTCTGCATGCCGATGATGTATTGTGGAGGGCAACAGCTGTAAATTTGACATTGAGGTGATGGGGAGCCAGACCATTTTGTCGGCTGAAGTGGAGAGAAGTGGCGTATCGCACCGATGATGCCTTCTTAGTACTTGTGAATCAGCTATTGAGGCGTTATACGTTCCATGGTCTGTTCTGAGTGACCAAAAGTTTGCACACACCGATTACCCAGAACAACAGACCGTTCAACTTACAGACCATGCAGGCCTTGGTGTAGATGTAGTTGGGACAAGCTAGAATGTTCTGGCGCTGTCCGCCATGCAGAATGCCGTAAGGTAATTTCGCCGTGCTCGGTGAGAGTGTCACACGACAATGCAATAACCACTCCTTGCCGTACACGCTGACCTGGATTCATACAAGGCTAAGGCTGTAAATGCCTTCTGTTAAATCGACTAACAACAGGGCAGACAGGAGCACGTGCCTGAGGACATCTCAAGTATTCTCAGTGGAATGGAACACGTGCAGTGAAGGCAATCTTGATTTGAAGCTTTCGTGACTGCAGAAATCCATACTCTGATTCTTTCGGTAAAGTCACATCATGATATATTATTTTTTGTTTTATTTTATTTTTCTACCTACGTGACTTTACCGAAAGAACCAAAGAGTACAGTGAAGGCATCTTTGTTGAAAAATATTATTTCGACGCGTTTGCATTCGTGTTCCAAACGATGGACTTCGAAGAGCCATCCATATTAGCCGTGTCAGGATCAACAAGTATCTGCTGTATGTCATTTGTAAAAGAAATGAAAGCAGAACAATTATACGATAAAAATTTCCACCAATATTTTTCAAAATGTTAACAAGTAGAAAGCAGTCCTGCTGGTCTAATTGTGTATCTCGTCACTGCTATTTTAGGTCTATGCCGAATGACTTGTAAAGAGATGGACTGAACTTTTAGGCAGCCTTGGATCCTCGAGACCAGCCCTCAGCCTCAACTCAGGCACGAGGCTATTCTCTCAGCGGTGTGGCCTCGGTGCAAGGACTTTGTCTAAGAGGCTACATCCTTTACAGTGGCCTCGGCCTAGACGATCCCGCCTTGACACTGGCCTTGACCTAAACAACTCCCGGCATCGGCCTGGGCTTGGCATTGTAGCTATGCCAGTCTCGATGTTGTGGCTTTCGGCCTTGGCCTTTTGGCTTTCATCATTCACATTAAATGATATCGTCTCATTTGGGCCTCGAATCCAAGACTGCCTGAATGTAAGTTATGGCTTTCGATGCACTTAGGCTGCCAGAAATCTATGCGCATTACCCTGTGGCATTCGTTTGGACAGGCAGCTGTGTGAGCCAGAGACCGGGCAGCCCAACTCTTTTTTTTAAATATCGCAGCTCGCCTTGGAAATCAGCAACACAACCGACGTTTTATATATATGTGTGTAAAGGCAAAGGTCTGTGCTCTTCACACTGTGCGTCCACCAACTGTTGCAGCCTGGCCTCTTTCATGAAGCGTTTTAGCAAACCGTTCCACGGTGGCTAAAAATAAATCACAACAGAGGAGAGAGTGTCGTATCAGAAGTTTTTGCTTCCAGTTTCGGACCCTGCCAAGCATGGGACTCCTCTGGGGGGAGGGGGAGCGGGAGGGACACACACGTGCCAAGGGGCTCTCGAAAGATGAGTGCCCTGGAAGGTTCCATTCAGATCTGTACACCATCATCATCACTACCCCCGCCGTAAATCCAACCGAGCGGGGTGGCACTGCTGTATAGTCGGTTAAATAATCTTTTTGGATAATGGTTATAAGGGAACCGTGGTGTAAAAAAAAATTCAGAACATTTCCCATAAACTGTCCATGTCGCCGGCTTTAGTTAACCGGGTTGTACAAATGGTTTGTATATTTTTGGATCCACTTTTATACAAAAGGAGGGAGCGAGGCAGCATTTAGCTCCGGTGTGCACACAGCCTGCAGCAGAATAGGTGGTGGTGGGGGGGGAGTTGCTGGGATGTTAATGCAGTGCACCAGTCACTGCACACGCGCGTGCACCGAGTCTATTACTTAATTCACGTTGGCTCAGTGCCGCCACTCCTTTCTATCCCCACGCGAGCTTTTTTTTTAGAAGGGAAAAAAACCCTAAAAGGAGAATATCAAATCTGATTATATTTTTTTAGCTAGATCACAAAGCCTCCGATCAATAATGCTCTTTGCAGTTTGGATTGGCCCCGTCCCAAAGTTGCACGACACAAAACGGGGGGGGGGGGGTTAAGGTGTAAAGATAAATACGTTAAGAATCTACGCACGAGTGGTGGCAGATGTACAAAGGGAGCAAAAATTCAACGGGGGGGGGGGGGGGGGGGGGGGGAATCTGCTCTTCCCACCAGCTACGCCGAGAAAATTTTGCTAAAATAGTTAAACTTGGCATCTTGGAAAGGCAATTGGCCATCTGTAACCGGTCCAATGCGCGGGCGTGCCGCAGGTTTTAGTCTGAAGCGGAGCACGCAGCGGAAGGCAACTTGAAAGGGTTTGCCTGCTTAGAGGTAGTTACTGTCTGAGCTTAAGAAAAAAACGAAACGTCTCATGATTTAAACGATCGGTGTCGCGCCACTGAGCAAACACGCGACTCGTTCGGAAGATGGCCCCGCAACGCAATCTTCTGGACCAGCTCGTTAATCGCAGACACATTTGGCCATGATACTTGACACCCACACACACGGTGTGTACGTTGAACTTCTTTCGCACCGTACGTAGCCAACCAGGCTAATCGGAGGTGCGGTGTTATTCCATGTATAGATATCCCCACTAAATTCTAAGGACTGGTCTCGTGCAATCTACGTGATTGGGTTATAAGAGACGTCCTGTCTGGTGGATTGGCCCTGGTGGGACAATTGGATGGCCCACGCGCTTCGCCCGATGTAACCCCACTGGCTTTTTATGTTTCCTTGTGGGGTCGCATCAAAGGCCCCTGCGTGGGTGTGAGGGTGTGGGGAGCGGTGGTGTCACCTCGGCCTTCGCATCATTAAATGTTGAGCAAATCACAGCATCTGTGTCTTCACAACACGCGTGAAGATGCGCATTGCGCCCACAGAAGCTCAACGACGCTGGGGAGAAATGCGGCCGGAATTTTAATTGGTGGTCGAGCACAACCGTACGCGTGCAGTTCTTTTGGAACTGGTGGTTTCGCGTAAGGGCTGAAGGCGTTTGTACACGCAATACGCATCCGCGAGTGTTACACCGGTTTGTCTGCCCCGGCCTGTGCTCATTTCTAGATTTGAATTGGCGGCTATGTTGTACGGAGTGCTTCGGGAGAGTGTTGCAGGATGTGAAGAGCGCACCGGGATCTGCCGGAGACGTGCGGAGGCTTTGAATGACAACGTCGCTTTTTCGTATAAATTCTACCTATTGTTTTAGATGGGTATATTTAAATGGATCACCCTGTTTAACCAGGACAATAACGTGAGCTTAAGGTCACTGTTGAATTGGGACGATGTCATTGCAGTGTGCTGTCATTATCATCGTACCTGTAGGTTCCCACTACATCTCGGTCCAGAATTGTGACCGGTAGAGCTTGTATGTATGTATATATGTTGAACTTATTTAGCACTTCACGTAGCCAACCACAGGAGCTGTGCGACTTTAAAATATCGACTGAAAAAACTATTTTCTTCAGAACTCTTTTCTGTGTGTAAGTTTGACGTCCTTCCACACACCTCTGATGAGCACGGTTGGCGACGTTCAGTGCGAAAGAAGTTCAACATGCATGCATGCATGCAACCGTGCTTGTGGAAGGTGCGGGGGAAGGGCAACAAACGAAACACAAAAAGCAGTAAAGCAGCTTAAGTGGTGAATGGGTTAATTTCTGCCAGACCACCCAGCCACCCCTTGGCTAATGAGTTCAGACACCGCTCTGCATTTTTGTTTGTTACTATTCCTCTGCTTTGCACACAGTAGATTCGTATTAAAAGTAGATAAACCCTACAATTTTAAGCATCTAACGATGCATTAAGTACAATGGATTGAAATAATTTCGGTGATGATACGCGCGTGGAATCGTGCGCGTAGGAACAGATTCGTTTCTGTTCGTCAAGATTGCATGCGACTGATTCTTGCCACTCGTGCTTCTTGAAGGCATTTAAGATTCCAATTCACTCCACAGTGGTTAGAAATTGAGTTGTTCTTGAAATTCATTGTTGGAGAGTCCCACTGTAAGGTGTCATAAGCACGCATACTGCACAGGTTTTGCGGTAATCTCTGCAAAACAGATCACAAATTGGCTTTCTTTTGGTGCCAGCGGCGCTTTTTAGGAAATGTAAGATAAAAAAAAACATCACTCTACGTCCCCAAGTGGTGAAAGAGGTCCATATTACTCAGATGGCACTGTAAAATCGAAGATGATGCCCAGACCCTCTTTGTGTTCCATCTGCGCGGGGAACGGTTTGACTCCGTGGGCTCGGTTTGTCACTGCGTTGCGACTGCCTCTGGTCGCATCGCTTCGGCATTTCGACACAAAGAACTCTAGCTGGGGCTCTTCCCTGTGCCCGCTTCGAACCTGACACCGCAGCAGGGGGCTGCCTCCCGCCGTCGCAATGCTGAGTTTCAAACACCGGCTTTGGACCTCCAACAGAGGTGCACGCTGCCCCACGCTCGGTTGACCGTTGAGACTCCGACTCGTTTGGCGTGAACGGCAGCGCAGGGCTGGCGCATAGCTCACAAAATCCCGGGGTTTAAATCGCAGAGAACCGCGTCCGCGGAGGGAACGCCGACTCCACCGCCGCGACGCAGATCAAACCCTGACCCTACACCCTTGTCTGGCGGTACGAGCGGCTGCTGCCCGAGCCTCCCTGGTTGCCGCTTCCCGTGGGGTGCGCGTGGCGATGCCCGGCCTGCGAGTGCACGTGGCCGGCGCCCGCCGCCGACGACGACGACGCCGACGACGGCGCCGACGGCGGAGGGAACGCGAAGGCCGTGGCGGCGCCGGCGGTAGCGCCGGCTGTGGCGCCGACATGCGGCTCGCCGCGGTGCCCCGGGTGCGGCGCTGCCGGCGGCGGGGGCGGCGTGTGGCCGGAGCTCGACTCGGAGCACAGCTGCGAGCGCGAGAGGCTGCTCTGCAGTGCGGCCGGCATCAGCCACTCGCGGGGCAGGAGGCTGCGCAGGAAGGGGATGCAGGAGCTCACGTGCGCCAGGCGGTTGACCCAGCGCGGGATCTCCCTGCCGCACAGGATCTGCACGCGCGCGCAGAGGTCCCGCATGGGACCGGTTTTGATGGTGAATGCCATTAGAGGCTTCGAGCATCGGACCGCAGCGAACAGCGCTGTTGCAGACGTTCGCGGTTCGTGTCAGGCCGCTACCCTGGTCAATGCTGCGGGGGTATTAACAATAAACATGCACCCAGTACCGCTTCACCTCCGATTAGCACGGTTAGCTGCGTACGGCGCGAAATAAGCTCAACATGCATTCATACATTCGCAGTGGACATAAAATATCCCGTGGCATCATTCGCAAAAAGAGTAGGCCCCATGTGTTGGCGGCGTTATGGTCCAAATGTTTTACGTTAGAAATTACTTACGTTGGGTAAAACCGCATCGCAACGTCGCCGCTTAATTGGCAGACTGGACTTGCCTGTAAAACATAGCGCCCTCACGATCGCCTTTCGACCTCATAGTGGAGCAAATACCAAGCGCACTTTGCTATTGTTCATTTGAAGGTCGTGAAAATTTCAGTGGATGGTTTTGAATTTGGCCATCATTCCTGCAGAGGTGATCTTTTTCTTTTTAACGCCAATCACATTGCAGTTATCAGCGTGAAGCCACGGGCCAAAAGACACGTCCTTTTTGGAGCGTGTGCAGTAAGCGGTGCACCACGGCGCGGAGACGTTCGCTGTTGCACGGCAACCCGGCCACCAGCATCGTATCGCTCGTAGCCGCTGCGTTAACCGAGCTCCACTGTCGTGACAATGTTTGCGTGCGGGCGATGGTGAGCAAGTTGAGACTATCACACTCGCCACGCTGGACGTTGCCGTTTGAAACCCGCCCACTGCTTGAACCCGAGATCGCGGCAGTGCCGGCTAGGCGACCGGCCCCGTGAGCCACCCCGGCCACTTCCAGAGCCGACAACACGGGCACCCGCTTCGTACCCACTTTGGAAATTGACTGGCCCCTGTAATGGGAACGTGGAATTTCCAATACTTGCTCAAGGGCACTAACCAAAGGATCGGTGTTGCAAATGCTCATTTTAGCAGACTCTTTAGATTGTTTTAATTTCATGTGAGGTATGAGCGGGAGGGGTCGGCTGACAACCCCGCAGGCAGGAACACGTGGCCATCTGCTGCCTGGTCTCAACCCACCCCACCCCCTTACCCACCCTCCCCCCATATCACAGCAGAAGGCAAACTTGGAAGACACCCCCCCCCACCCCCCGCATATACCCTCTGTTTTGTGGGTATTTACTGTCCGATTAATTGGGCCAGTGTAGCATGGTGTAGAGTTTGATTTGGAGAACGTACGCAAGTTCGAGACATCGTACGTATTGACTGTTAAGAAAATAAGATGGGGCTCGGGCCGGGCACTTCGCTAGGAGGGCACGATGGCCGTTAGTCGAGACTAAACTTCACTATTTTTTTAATGTCATTTTACCAAGGCCCACCGAGCTATTGCTGTATAGCTCTTTTTTGGAAGCGACCTGGCCACAAATGATAGCTCACGTTTAAATGTACAGCAGCCAAATAACTCTAAACGCTTGTTGATTCTAAATGTGGAGGGGAAAACCGGAGGGCCCGGAGAAAAATTCACGCTACCACAGGGAGAGAGAGAGACACACAAACTCCAAATATACAGGAATCAGGGTCGGGATCGAACCCCACGACCTCCTGCATGCCAGGCGAAGTAGTTAACATCTCGCCACTGTGACAGCACACGTTAGTCGAATCTAATGATGGAGTGGCAGCCAAAGGATGGACCGCGCCTGGGAGGACATCGACCGCATAGGTGGAAGCAATTAAAATATTCTCTCGTGCAGGAGCTCGGTGATTGGTTACAACACAGGACCACTATGGATAGAGACGGCTTGGGGAGGAAGCCCTTCATCCAGCAGTGGATTGATCATGGCTAATGATGATGAGAGAGTGCATAACCACCTAAAGTGTCAGCACATTGTAAACTAACCTTTCATTTCTCTCCACAAAATACAGTGCACACAGAAAAGTTTAACGAACAGCACATCTTACCCTCAACAAATTTGTCCGATTGGTTCAATATTTTTTTGGGAAGCAGCAGCTAAAACATTAATGCGTGGCGGAACTGAGAAGCGTTACATTTTTAATGACGTTCCCTCTCTCTCTGCCTTTTCCCGCCCCCGCTTAAATTAACATGCACAGAAACCAAGAGGTGCGCTGCTTATAAATCGATGGGGGGGGGGGGGGGGAGCTGAAATAACTCAGATGGATTTACGTAAAGCAGGCTCGTATTACTAATTTACTTTTGCAGTTTTGACTTTTCAAGAGGGATGGCTGTGGTCAGCTGTGTTAATCAGCTTAGAGGAGCGACGCCTTCCCCCATCCCAAATTGTGAATCGCAAATTCGTTGACGTTTCAAACGCCTCCGCCACAGGAAGGATTCACTGCGCCAACGAGTTCCAAGAAGTTTTTTTTTTGCAAGTGGCCACTGCTTGGGATGGTTTTTGGTGACGTGCAAAGGAATGGAGTGCCCAGAGTGCGCGGAAAACAAATGGCAGCTACGTACATTGCAACTCTTTCCCGTTCCGATGACGACTGCAAGCCACAGGGCAGGTGTCACCGTTCACCGGCGAATCTCGGAACGCACGTGCGGCTCAGCGTTGATTTACTGAGGGAGGCGTAGCGTTGTTGTTTTTAAAGACGTTGTACTCAGCACAGAGAACTGTGGCGTCCCCAGACCGCACTCTACGAAAGCTGCTGCCAAACTGTGCCACGCGTCCTCCCCGCATGACCTTTTCCTTCCGATTCCAGAATCGCAAGTAAAGCGTACGTACACGTATGTACGTGTTCGTCATCGGAATGGGAAAGGGTTAACAGCCCACTTGCTCTACTACTTCATGAGTCGCCGTGGCTCTCAACCGCGTGGTGTCCAACCAACCCCGCCCATTCTCCACTGGCACATCCATGCCGAGCCAGCCCAGGGTTCCTCGTGTGTTTTTTTTTCCCCTCCCACTGGCTGTTTGACTTACCAAGCACGAACACCAAAATGGTGATGCGCTGCTGGTCTCAATCTGGCTCCGGGGGCCAGGCAGGGCCAGGTGGCAGGGAGGTGCTAATGAGACGTTCACCACCTACACGATGTCAGCTGGTACAACTCGAACACAGCGGTCCATCATGAGCTCCATGGGCCACCGTCTTACCAGACTCTTGTGTTCAACCGCCACGCTGCAGGTCACAGCACTTCTGATGAGTACTTTCCTGCGAAAGAAGTTCAACGTACGTACGTACGTACTTCTCTTACGGCGTCTTCCCTCGCACTGCTCGACTTTCACGTTCCCTTGCATCGTCGCGTCTCCCAAAGCGCTTCAAACCTCGCTCGATCCAAGTAGCGTGCAGACTCTTTACGTATTACTACTGCAATAGCGGCGTTTGGTTGCCGGATGCTTGGTATTTGGGCCTTTGGGCAACTGTGCGCAGCGACCGTGATGTATAAATAATACATAAACACACTCGACCAACGGGGGTCGCCGCGCACCTCGGCCAGGCCGGCGGTAAAGTGGTTGCAGTTCTTGTTGATGAGGTGGTAGGCGTTGCCTTTGAAGTCCTTGCCCAGCTCCTCCACAATCTGGGCGACGTCCTCCTCCGCAAAGTCGGTGGTGCCCAGCATGATCGCCTCCCTGGGGAGCGAGAGGACGGCGGTCGGTGGGCCACACGTGCGTGTCCACGGTACGTGCTGTTGCTTGAATGAGACGGATAAATCCACACCACTGGATAACCCATCACCCCTGCTAAATCGGGCCCTGGTCATGGTGCTTACTGGATTGACCACGTGGCATTGTGTGTAGGAGCGTGGGGAGCTGCTCACTTGAACTTGAACGTCTCCCCCAGCTCTGCGACGTCTCCAGGAACGATCTCGAACACGCCGCTGAATGGGTACGGGTGGCCCCCGTACGCAAACTCTGCACCCGCATACGGAGACGTCGGGAGTCAAATCGCGAGTGCGGGTGGTGGCCGCGCCACGCCGTTCCCGTGGCGCGAAGGACCGCGCCGTTGTTTCGCGGACGATTCTAAACCACGAGAGTTTCACCGTAGGGGGGCCATGTCGCCACGTGGTTTTACCCAATTATGGAATTTGGCGGGCAATTTTCAAACTCGACAATTTTTTTTTTACCATGATTGCCAGCAGACATGGCCTACTCCTTTAATTTTTGTTTACGAATAACTTCACCGGACCTTTTAACGTCCACCGGTACTGCTGACAGTGCACACTTTCTGTTGAACGGGTGCCCGGAGGATTAGCCAGCACTGCCGCTGGGCTTGAACCGCGAACTTTCCGCGACAAGCTGCAAACGTGCTCTACCGTTCGGCCGTGTCCATACACCGGTACAGTCGCACGTGCATTCGCACGGAGGTGACCGGCTGGCTCAGAGGTCGAGTGCCATGCCGACACTTCCGCAATCCTGGGTTCGAATTTCAGGGATCGGCGATTACAACCGGGTTCTGAAGTGGACAGTGAGTTGATGGTCTCAGCCCGGTCACCAATGAACTGCACAAAAGAACAATCTTAATTTCATCTCGATTGGTGTCAAATGGTGAGAAGTAAAAAACTAAATTCGGAGCTGACACAGGACAGTCCACTGAATCGGATACCACAGAGCTACGTCTGAGATCCCTTTGAGTGACCTACAGTCCATACAGTAAGAGGCAGCACTTTCCTACCCGCCTTGCCATATGAGAATAATGTATGTCGCTTAATAATAATGAAACTTACATTTTAAATTCTAAGAGCTGGAATTGTCACGATAAAAAATACGGAACCAATTTTGAAAAATGTTTTCCCTTGCAGATACTGATGACGAGGCTGAAACGTAATAATAGACTCAAAGCGCTGTACACCAGCCGTAAAAAACTAAAAATATTCAAATAAAACACTGACACAGCAGATTTTTTTTTTACATCAGAATACAATAAAGCCAAGGATAAAACCAAAATAGAAACTTGGGCAACCATCAACACTTTAACACTTGAGAGCCCGGTTTACTTACGGGCGGCCGGGATCTCTCAGCGGTGCGGCTCTGTGAGTGTGACGTCGTCTCTTACCACTTCACAATAGTCTGGGGGGTAACGGCACAGGTGCGTGGGTGTCCACTCACCTCGCCCGTACACCTGGATGCCCGAGTGAAAGATGCCGATGCCAATGGTGGAGGTGTACTCGTTCATCCAGTACTGGAGTTGGGGCACACGCACAGCAAGCAGACGCTCCGGTCAACCTCATAGAGCCAAGGGCAGGGCTGGGGAAACCTTTTCCATTCTGCGTGGCTGAATGCCACCTTGAAACATCTTAGGGCGATCCCACATTACGACGGGGCCGCCGGGGTGCCGCAGGGGCAGGGATGTTAACTACCTCGTCTGCTATGTAGGAGCTCGGGGTTTCGATCCGGACCCCGATGCTTGTATGTGTGGAGTTTGCTCACTCTCCCCATGGTCGCGCGGATATTGCTTCGTGTCCTCCGGTTTTTCCCTCCAAATTTCGAAACACGTATTTAGAATATTTGGCTGCTATAAATTTCCACACGATGAAGCCACTTCGTTGAGCTATGATTTGTGGTCAGGTCGCGTCTGCACAAGAGCTATATAGCTCAGTGGACTATGTATCTTGTATAATAAAAAATAGTTGACAAAAACACATCTGAGCCACTTCTAGCAGTGCAAGAGGCCCTTGCGGTGACACGTGATGGAGCGCACAAAATTATAAACACAGAGTGTTGTTACCAGATCGAATCTATTTCCCCTCTTAGTACCCGATCAGTGCGGCTAAGATGCTTGCAGCGATGGATACATTTCGTTTGGCGGCAGTTTCGATGCGGGTGACCTCATGCGGCTGCAGGCCGTGTGAAACGAAGTGCGCCCGGTGGTAGCTTCCCCGACCACTGCTACAGAGCAGAGGGAAACCACTGCTGTTAGCGAGCTCCTATTCAGACTGACATCACAACAGGATGGGGTGGTATAACCCAGGCCCCACGTATAAGCATTCAGCTTCGTGTTTCCCCTACTTTATTTCAGCTAAGTTTATTTTCAAAAGGATCAGGCCACGTTCGATGCGCGTGACCGCGATAACAATCAACTCGCCGGGACTGTGCCGTGGTGGCATGGTTGGCACGGTCAACTTGCGATCCAGAGGTCGCCGGTTCAATCTCCTGGCGTGGCAGTTGGTGCAATGGGGCAAGTTTCTTGCAAACCTCTGTCCATGCAGCATACCGATGTACATTTGTGGCAAATACAAAGATCCCTCGTGTAGCCTTAACAGACTGTTGGGGGCAAGTGCTGCTCATGAGCAGCGCCTATGAAGGCCGGCACGGCTCACGAGGAGGTGGGTGGTCAGCACCACGTCCGGCCGCCTTTGTCTCTCCAGCAGGGATGTTTACACACCACACCAGATACTAATTTGAGGCTGAGCCGACCTAGGGGAGGCGGCCCAGGACCGGTTGAGATGGAGCAATCGTCTCTGGTGTTGACCGTGCGCGGGAATCGAACTCGGGTCACCGGGTTCATGGCACAGAACGCTAACCACTGCACGACAGCTTCCCACATTCATACGAGTGCAGCAAACACTTGACATACATTTTTTTACATGTACAAAGTGGAACACGCAGACATACATAATACACGGTCAAACGCATGGAAGCACGCAGGTGTCTGCTCAAGCTGCGTTACAATACCTCAGGATCAGCGTCTATATTTAGTCGTTACAAGACGCACGCACACGCATGATGCACTGCTTTGTGGATGAAGACGAACACGTGGGAATGCACGCGCGCATTAATGCGAGCAGGCGGGCAATAGCACACACGCACAAAATGGCTCTTCCCAAACGCAGCAGCGTCCTCCACACAACGAACATCACTTGGCTAAACTCGGAGCGCTCAGGGCGGGAGATCATTGGAGGTTGGTTTACGGAACAAAAGCTTGTAAATATCTAAAGTGGGCAGCGTAGGGGGGAGCGGTGATGACAGATGGAGCGCCTGGGCGATTGTTCCACGGAAGCCGCGCGTCCAGGAATTGATTCGTGGGAATTCGAAGAAAAAAAATTGTTGCCGGACATTTACACAACGAACCTGCTCGGTCAAACTGGGGCATCGTAATGAGATTGGCAAACTCACGCCTGATCCAGTGGCCAGATACCGGGAATCCGCACACCCGGTTCGCTGTGTCATCTCCTGGATCCTTGCCAGTCGTCCGGATGGGCCAAAGTGCCCGCAAGGAAATACTTGGCATGTGGTGATAGATCGCGATCGTGACCTTGTGAGTTTTACCGTTCAGGTGCTGCGGTTATCGCGGTGTGCTTGCGATCCAAAATCAGAGGTTTATGTTATCCGAGTTAATTTCCCATTGAGCCATGTGGCTCTTTTTCAAGGATGATCCGGCCAGCAAGATTTAATAAACACGATATAAAATATCAACAAAAATATAAATAAAGTCATTAAAACCAAATGATAAAATTACACACATTCGCATAGGTAGTTTCCCTTTGCTCTGATCCAGAGGTCGCCGGTTCGATCTCCCGGCGCGGCGGTTGAAACAAATGTGCCCGTTTATTATAATTCCCCCCCCGCCCCCCCCCCCCCCCCCCCCCCCCCCCAATCCTGCCTCTATCCACCCAGCGGTATAAAATGTGCGCACCACAGTTCATCGATTGGCAGACCACAGTGTGGTGGGGCAAAGTGTGGGTATTCCCACTTCTTCCAAGACGTCTGTCCCCAGCATGGAGGAGCGGCGCCCTTAGTGGGTGGAGCCCTCTAGACGAGAGGCGCCCTCGAGTGGAGGTCCTCCCGCCAGCAGCGGCATGAACAGGCGCCTGCGGGGCTGCGCCTTCGCCGTTTTACCCGTTGTATTTACATCACGTTATACGCTCCGTTCTCCTGTAACCCGCCGCATGTTTTCACAACGCGAATCGGATACGGCGCGATGGATGTGTTGGGGAACACCTTTTTTTTTAATGACGCAGATGCGAATTGGATATAGCGCGATCGAGCCGACGGAACTACGCCCCGCGAGTAGGAATGAGCGGTCACACAAGGCGGGATGCTGCTGGATGCCTCTAGATGCTACCCACGCGACTCAAGTCTTTACTCGGCCTGCGTTACGCATGTCACGTGTTATCGCGGACAGTGCTATATGATTTATTTTAACGCGATTTTTCCATAACACAGGAGCCGGGTTATACCACCACGTCACAGGAGAACAGACTGCATCCCGATTGTGCTACCCGAGCCACGTCGCTGTGCGCTGTGGCTGTGCGCTGTGGCTGTGCGCTGTGTCATTATCGCCAGCCAGCAGCGCGTCATGCAACATCCGCGAATGGTCCCAGAAGATGACGTCATCGTTTACCGACTCCTCCATTTACTCACCAGGCCCTTCTCGACACTGGACACGTGTCAGTCGAATGTCAGTCATAGTCTATTTGTATGAATGTTCGGCATTGGAGCCGAGATTTTATTAATTCGGTGAAAGCTCGAACAACGTACCGTGTACCGGACACACATTTTGTTGGAGTTCATAAGCTGGATAAAAAAAAAATTGCGAGGCCATTAAATCACTGCACTGCCAAAACACATGATTTTAAAATGAATGGAGAAAAAAAAAACAGTGGCAGTAGTGCTCAGGTGCAATGTAAAAAAAAACACCGCGGTGGTCATTAAGAGCAATGTCGGAGCCAGGATTTTCAGGTGGGGGGGGGCAACCCCTCCAGTAATGAAAAATGATAGAGGAGTTGTTAGTGAGTAAGGACTTGTCCCTTGCTTTTTATTCGACGCGTGTGCGCGATGGCACAGCCATCGATCGAGGGTCGAATTCGAACTGCGTTGTGTGATCGGCATCGCGCTCGCTGAAGGTGTTGATGCCTTCAGGGAAGTCGTGTACTGTATACACAACTGCGCACAATTCTGTGAGTCACTTATAACTGCTTTGCCGTTACTTATTGCCAATTATGGACTCAGACTATTGTCCTATCATCTCATAGAGTCCCTGGTACCTAATAATATGCTACACAGTGGCAGTGGGGGTCGCAAAATGACAATGTATTACTAATAAACCCCAATGATCCGATCTAAATGAGGGATTTCGATCGGATCATTGGGGGGGCACGTGCAAACCTCCCCCCACTGGCTCCGCCAATAAGAGAACACTATGGAGGGCCAACATGAGTCCACTGTATGTATTTACATATACAAGGTGAGGGCATCTTCATTATTTCACGGGTAGCAGGGCACCTGTCTGAATTCAAACATAACATCGGTGGTGCTGGCTCAGTTCTCTGATATGACCATGATGAGCTTTCTTTTTTTACCTGGCCAACTCATCATGCCGTGTGTCTGCTACAGCCTTTATTGAGCCTCAGCATTTGCGGGGCAGACTTATTTACTTTTTACACATTGAACGAAATAACTATTTTTATTTTACCGGATAAGGCCCACTAAACTATTAAGCTTTTTTTTTCAGGTGACCACGGGGAGAGAACTCCATATATACAGGCATCAGGGTCGGGATGAAACCCATTAACTCCTGTATACCGGGCGAGGTAGTCAACATCTCGCCACCGTGTCACCCCACTTGGCCATCACTGGTTGTGAATGTGGTGTTGGCTCTGGGAGTTCAGATTTCGAGAATGGCCATTCCTCTTAGCGTAATTTATTTCTTGGCTACCTGGCAAGTGGGCTCAGAATAACAGCTGCCCCTAATGTCAAAATTGGTCCCAAACTCGAAATAAATAGTTTTGGGATGTATTAAATTATTCAAGGATGTCACCACACCCAAACATTAAAACATTCCTCCTCTAAAACTCATTTATATATAACAGTCTAATTTGTTCTATTATCCTTAAAATACTCACTTGAGAGAATGCACATAGAGTCACGCACACAGATGTAAGATGCACGGACAGAATGCCAGATGCATGATGGATGGGTTGCCGGGTTGCGTGCGTGTATTTATAGGATGCAGAGTACAGTGTGTGGTCCTTGCACAATATCTTGGCTTTCACAGTCAGCCAAGCTTTCCTTGCCGCTTTCGCAGATGTCTATCGCAAAATGCAAATCTAAAAACCATCGCTCGTTCCCTCCGGCTGTCAATGCAGTGTCACAAAAAACGATGAGCCCCCAAATCATCCCAGTTAAATAACTTCACTTGACTGATATCTGACAAAATGGCCCATCTGTTTCTATATGACA